GTTCGATAGTACTCTTTCACTAGATTATCGTGCGCTAAACAGCAGCCGAAGACTCTCTTTCAAAAGAGATAGAAGAGGTGATAAACTCTGGAAAAATTAAGCTGTTCCAACTTCTACAAGCTGTAACTTTCTTTAGAATGAACATTTTCGAAATCAGAAAGCAGATTTGTGTTTATCTTTTCAAGTCGAATCTTACTGTATACAGCATGAAATTTTTTGCGCGCGTATATTTACAAGGTCGCAACGCAGCGCACATCAAACATAAAAGACTCTATTAAGCACTGTTGGATTGTGCTGCTTCCGCAGACTATCGAGCGCTAAGAAGCAACCGGAGAATCTTCTTGAAAAAAGATAGAAGAGCTGGTGAATTCTGGAAAATCGTGTTGTCTCAAATTTTGCCCACAGTGACCCTAAAATGAGAAGCTCTACTGCTAAGCAGTTGTGATTTTCGTAATCAGCAGGTCAGATAACCTCTATGGGCAAGTTTTCAAAGAAATTTGGGTGATTTGATTTTTTCTCGTTCTACGCCCTGAAGTTCGCCGATGGGTTTTGCTCAAAATGTCGATGATCTCGGATTGTAAGGAAACTTCGCTCAAAGAGGTTTTCGAACACGCTGTTTACGAAAATAGTGGTGTTTGAAGAAGACAGGGTCTTTTTGTAGAGATATTGTGAGGTGACTGTGACTGAGTCACGAAACTTCGTAAATTTGCCTGCACTTTTCGCGAATTTGTCAAAAAACTTGCCTGCTTGCTTTTCCAAGTCAAAATCACTGGGAACTGTGCTATCAAAAGGTGCATGCTCAGGCTCCAGTCTATAAAGTTCGCCGAGTTGCGAGCCCACGAAAACACGTCCTCATGAATTTCGCTCAAAATGTAAAAATCGCGTATTTCGTCGAAACCCCACCCTCAGTGGTTGTATGACATTTTGATCAAATCTGTTCACATTGGTTAATGGTCTTAATGTGCTGGATTTGGAAATTAGGGAGATCTGAGCTCAAGCTACGAAGGTGCTTGGATATTCAAATGAGCAGCTGAAGAACGCGCGACCACCATATTCAACTCAATGGGATCCCTTAGGCGAAGTGAGCATATGCAATCAGAATGTCATAAACAACTGAGGGTGGGGTTTCGACGAAATACGCGATTTTTACATTTTGAGCGAAATTCATGAGGACGTGTTTTCGTAAGCTCGCAACTCGGCGAACTTTATAGACTGGAGCCTGAGCATGCACCTTTTGATAGCACAGTTTCCAGTGATTTTGACTTGGAAAAGCAAGCAGGCAAGTTTTTTGACAAATTCGCGAAAAGTGCAGGCAAATTTACGAAGTTTCGTGACTCAGTCACAGTCACCTCACAATATCTCTACAAAAAGACCCTGTCTTCTTCAAACACCACTATTTTCGTAAACAGCGTGTTCGAAAACCTCTTTGAGCGAAGTTTCCTTACACCGAGATCATCGACATTTTGAGCAAAACCCATCGGCGAACTTCAGGGCGTAGAACGAGAAAAAATCAAATCACCCAAATTTCTTTGAAAACTTGCCCATAGAGGTTATCTGACCTGCTGATTACGAAAATCACAACTGCTTAGCAGTAGAGCTTCTCATTTTAGGGTCACTGTGGGCAAAATTTGAGACAACACGATTTTCCAGAATTCACCAGCTCTTCTATCTTTTTTCAAGAAGATTCTCCGGTTGCTTCTTAGCGCTCGATAGTCTGCGGAAGCAGCACAATCCAACAGTGCTTAATAGAGTCTTTTATGTTTGATGTGCGCTGCGTTGCGACCTTGTAAATATACGCGCGCAAAAAATTTCATGCTGTATACAGTAAGATTCGACTTGAAAAGATAAACACAAATCTGCTTTCTGATTTCGAAAATGTTCATTCTAAAGAAAGTTACAGCTTGTAGAAGTTGGAACAGCTTAATTTTTCCAGAGTTTATCACCTCTTCTATCTCTTTTGAAAGAGAGTCTTCGGCTGCTGTTTAGCGCACGATAATCTAGTGAAAGAGTACTATCGAACGGTGCCCATGGCAGTCTCCTATGTGATGCTTGTTGCGTTACACCCATGCGAAGAGGCGTCGGCATGCAAATTCAAGATTATTGAAAACAAGATATTGGAGACAACCTGTATATCAAAAGATTCGCCTTGACGAGCTGAATACAACGTTGTTTTTGGATTTTGAATGTATTCATTCGGAAAGAAGTTATGGCCCTGCGTAATTTGCGTGATTCACATGATTTCGCGGAATTCTCGGAAATTTTGCATGTTCTGTGAGTGGTTTTGTACTATCATTACTTATAATAACGGGCTAAGGATGTTTACGTGACTTTGTGTGTGTGTGTGTGTGTCTGAGAGTGTGTCTGTTACGAAATTCGTAGAACGTGTTCCAACCAACCTGCTGGGCTCAAATTTTGCACAGCGCATGCTACCCGCATGAAAGTCCAACAAGCAAAATTACGAGCAGATTCATTGAGTGTATCCCTCAGAAACTATGCGTCAAACGGGTCCACTTTGCATTAGGGCCGCAGAATTGGGTCCTAAGTCCACTTTTTGCCGAGTCGTGGGTGTTTATGCCAAGTAAATGTGCAAGCCGTGAACTCAGACCCAAAAAAAGTGATCAAAAGTCCATCACTTTACGAAACGGCGCCAAAAAGTATTGGTTGCGTAAATGGTCAATTTGCCAAGGTTTTACCAGACCATTTGACGAGATTTTTGCACAAAGATGTAGCTCACGGTGACTGCTATTCTTATTGCAACTGTCAAGACCATGGAAAAATCAAAAACCTCTAAAAATCTGCGTTTTTTCTCCTGCAAAAAGTCTCATCCACTCGAAATGACCGATTTCACATAGAAAAGCTTTCGAAATGAGCAGTTGTTTACATTTTGTTCGTGATAGTCGGCATTGCTCGGTAAGTTTCAGTGCCATCATTATGCGAGAATGAGTAGGGCCTAGATAGTAGAGCCAGTGCGAACCTCTGCGAAGCAGAGATGACGCACTGGTAAGAGATAGATCGATAAAAACTCACACAGCGTTTTCTAAAGTACATTTCTTATTGTATATCAAAAATGATCCAATTTTGTGTCGTCAGTGATAAATGATAAAATGATGATATCAATGACAACGACAGATAAGAATGGCTTAAATTCATGCGGTCGATTTCCACGTTCATCTTCCATATAGGTGCAGAATTTTAGCCCAGGCTTCGGCGTGAAGCGAGTTGAAGCAGAAATGCCATACTAGGTAAGAATTGGCAGCAATGGCATGTGCCGGTGAAAAATCGATCGATTGCTGCAGCGAGGGATCTACCAATTGCACCGAGCAATAGAACTAGAAAAGCCTGTAGATCACTTATAATGAGAGAAAGAGCGATAGAAATTCACACAGCTTTTCCTACAGTACTTTCCTTACCATATGCAAAAAATGACCCAAAAATGTGATATTATCAGTGATAAATGATAAAATGCTTATATCAGTGATAAGGGTAAATAAAAACTGCCCAATTGCGATAGTTTTCGATAATGAAAACTTCGTACCAGAACCTGCTATTCGTGATTTACGCTGTGATAAATGTTCACAAAAGCCTTAACATAGAGAACAACAAGGTATCATTGTAAGTCTACCCCCTCACCACGAATTACGGACATACTGTACATCAAACGATTCGTCTCATCAAGCTGAAGCCAAATCTACACGCAGATTGCAAATAAAGTGGATTTAAAAGAAGTTATAGCTAAATCCCGCAAGTCCCGCAAATCCCGCGAATCCCGCAAATCCCGTGAAGTCGCGAATCCCGCAAACATCGCGAATCCCGAACCCGCAATTTTGGACAAATTCCACGGTCACAACTGTACTCTGAGCATTTCTTTGTCGGCATCTGCATGGCAGCGCCCTACTGGAATTATGACAGTGGTACACTAGAGAATATAGGACTGACGCTGCAGTAGTGTTATCGAAGCTATTATTATATGAAGTACGAGAGGAAAGCAAAAACAAGGTTACCCCTTGCCGTCCTTCAAAAACTCTCAATCAACAATAGTGTTATCATTATCTTATCACTTTCCCTCGTTGTACTGGAGCTTTACTAAATTCACACAGCAACTTGCTGAGAAGAAAAAGTCACTCATGGAATGAATTTTGAATGGAATCAAAATGTTGGATATGGAACTGTGGGCCCATGAAAAGGCTACGCTGCTGTCACAATGTGTGGCAAAAATATCAGCAACAACAAGCAAGTAGCTGTATTTGACACTTAAATGTGGTAAACCAGCATTGGAACAAGGCACAATTTTGCTCGAGCAGGAATGAGTGCACGAGTATGGAAATACCACAACTTAAAACAAACCGCTAACCTGTCTGTCTGTGAAGTCGGTCTGTTATGAAATTACAATGAGGAATTTTACAATAATTTGAGGCATCTGAGGACCTGATAGCAAGTAAGGTTCATTCAGTTATGAATCGTTCTTTGCTCAGTAAGAATTAATTTACGAGACAAATCAGTGACCTAGTTGTGTCCAAATATGTACTAAACAAGTGCAAATGTCTCTCAATTTCCCACATTCAATATTAAACTTTCTTCGAGTGTCATCTTCATATGAAATGGCTGAGTGAGCCTTTCTTGTGGGACCTTATTGGGACAACGTGCATGATTCATTCGTAAATAAAAAATCAGCTCAAGTCAAAGTGCGCTAGCGTGGTGCAAGTACTTACAGCGCTACTTGTTGAGGCTTGAGGCTGATTGGTCAGCTGAGAAGGAAAACGATAAGAGCTGCAGTTCAAATTTCTCGAAGTTTGTACCTGGGCTGTGGTTGAGTAAGAAATCATGAATTTGCCCGAACTCTGTCCGCAAAACAACTAACAATAAGTTGTTTGCGGTTTCCTTTATCAAATATCGAGCAATGTTCGGCGAGGAAAGATCAGTTGAGCAGAGCTGAGGTAAGCATGAATAGCTTGTCTGATGAAATCGTGTTTATCCATGATGACTATGCGGGTCTGTGTAGAACACTGCTGACCATCTTTTATAATTTCAACGAGCATTGATACTACAAGGTCTAACAAAGGATTGTGAGCCAAAAACTGGAATGAACAATCATTTTTAATATAATCGCTCGTTCATAAATCCTTCATGGTGCCATATGCACCTACCCTGGGAGTAGTTCTACGGGAATTGCGACGGAATAACAGACGACGTGACGCAATACTGTGTCAAATCTTGCCTGGCCATAATAACGCCATTCGCCATTGACGCACTGGATATCCGCCAGCTGACGAAAGTCACGCACCCTTACTAAAATTGCATTGTCATTACTAACACAAAGTTTTGAAGATAAGTGAAACATATATGAAAGCTCAAAAACGCAGCTTTCGAGATAATAGCAGCCCACAAGATGCAAAGTTCCTCCAAGATTATATTAAGCCAAGTGTAACTTCTTGTAAAAAAACAATCATGAATTTTTGAACAGAAAATGAAAAACAAGTCAAGTAAGCTTGCAGAACTTTGGTAGCCTTGCTTTTCTCTTCAGCTTTTGAAGTTTTTTTTTGCAAATTCAAACAGGATCAATCCAGATTTTTTTTAGAGCAAATGATCATTTTGGCTTACGGCAGAATGAAATAGCGCTTTGGTGACTCACGGCATGAAATTGCAAAAATAGTTTAGTACAGATTTTCAACTGCATGGAATAGAGGAAAAATGCCCTATATTACATTGGAACCAAAATAAACAATAAGTGACGAAATTTTTATAGTGAATGTTAATAGGGCTTAGGCTTAGGCGTTTTCGTCTATTCCATAAAGCTAGCTTTTAAACATCCGTACCAAAATATTCCTGCAATTTAATGCCGTGTCAGCAAGATATAAGATTGAGAGTATGAATACGAGAAAAGGTTACTCAAGTTCTGTGTTTTTTCAGTCAAGCTGATGATAATCTGAAACTTTCGGAAACAAAGTATAAAGTCCACTTGATCATTTTTAACCTCACTTTTAACTGCGCGAAATCCCTGTTGACTAAACTTCTTGTGAAGCGGATATGGTTTGAACAGCAAAACCGCAAGTTTCTGATTTTCTGATAATTATCAGTGTTTTCAGTATTCAAAATAATTCAAACCAAAGCGGTTTTTTGCGCTTTTGTCTCAGAAACCTAAGATATGATATTAATTACCTAAAAAGTGAAGGACTTCATCCGCTCATTACATTTAGTTTCCTTCTCTTATGTTCGAATAGCGAAACATTTGTTTTGGAAGTGAGGCAACAAAAAGCAATGTTTTTAAGGCTTGTGATTGGTCAAATATCAAAACCAAGAGATAACTGCACAACGGTGCATTCATAATGTGTGCTTAATGTTAGGTTTAGGCTATTAGTTATGGTTTTTTTACTGCTGAATCATAACAACTTTACCTTTGACTTCACTATCTATCTCAATGTCAAACATTTACAAAATTGCATCAGCAAAACCTGATTTACCTTTGTGGTACTTTGTAAAAAGAATATATATGATTGTGTCTTCAAAGCATTCTCAATGCTATGTTTTTTTTATCGGTTTGATATTGTTAGAGGGACTTTTGCAAAAGGCTGAGTCAAGAGGTTCAAGGATAAAAGATAAATTGTGTTTTTTATATTCTTTGTGGGCATGCTTTAAACGCACTCTACTTCACAGTCGAAGAGGAATTTGAATGCGAGCGAGCCATGCTTGCGGGGCCAGCCGATTGAAAAGTCTGGTTTAATCTTCCCAAATTACTCTGGTCCCAATTTAAAGGCACCGTCCACCCAAAATTTCGACCTCCATGTTAAAACCGTTCCATGGTTTTTTCATATCCCTGATTCCGAATATCAAGTCAAAAATAACGAACGTCACGCCCACTCGAAAGGGGAGGAGCCAACGTCGCGAACCGTCACCTGAAGCGATTTCCGAAGCAAATTTCTCGCTTCGCAAACAACTTTAGGCAGCGCGAGTTGGGCAATCATACAGTTGGGGGCTCCGCAGCTGCTAGGTACCATAATCTCACCAACCCCAGTTTGGGTGGATGGTGCCTTTAACGGTCCCTGAGTGTAAAGGGTTCGGTTGGCTTACAGGCGAGATCGAGGCTTGCTCCAATTCAATCATAGCGGCGCCTCATGCTACTCTGCCATTCTTCCCCAAGCTAGAGTTAGTCCTATTCGGTATAGGTGTAGGCCTTCTGGGTGCCAGCATAAAATCGTTCTTCGATTAATGCAGTTAAAAAATTTTTAGCGAAAATACTAATGCATACTAAATAAAAAAATATTTTAGCGAAAATACTAATGCATACTAAATAAACACCGATTATGTGCGCTGGCCAAGCTGACTCCTTAGTGTCCTCACATTTTGAATCGCTTCTACAGTCTTTATGTCATTTGTGTCCCGTGCAACTCACTGTTACTGAGGTAGTCCGTTTTCCGTCCACCAGAGAATTGAAATAGTAGGTAGTCCGTTTGTTCGCAGTTTATGGTAACTGGACACAGTGGCGGAGGACCATATGTAACTGCCTTAAAAGTAGAGTAAATTGTCATGATAACAGCGGATAATTTAGACTGATCAAACACAATGAAGGAGAGCCAAATACAATTGCCTTGAGAATCTTGTGTTTCAATGTAATTCAAATATAGTAAGTCTACCTGGCCCAAAAATTTTTGGAGAATTTTTTTGAAGTAGCAGAAAATAGCATTCGTGAGTATTGAGAGTCTGTACGAAAAGCACTATAACTTATTTTTGGGTCTATTTGACTTTTTTCTTCCTTATTTCTTTCCACTTCTGCAGAAGAAAAACATGTTATAAGGCTGATCTGGGAGCCGGGGTAGACGTTTTCTGCGGTAACGATGAAATTTTTTTATTAGCTGTGGAAAAAGCGCAAGCTTAAACGGAATACTTTAAAATAAAACTATGGTCGAATAACCTGCAATGAGCGCTTTTAAAAAAATTGTGAAGCCTTTTTTTATTCTAAAAAGGTGCTTTTCAAAAATCTTGACAAGTTTTAATAAATATATAGTACAATCGTTGAGGATAATTTTAAAAATAAGGTATGCAGCTTTTTTTCCTAGAGACCATTTTATACATGAAGTTCAACAAATTTTTAAGATCAAGCTGATACGAAAAAAAGTGCTTGAAACCATCCATCGACTCCAACAATTTCTTGATCTCTTGCAGCCGTTGAACTCGTGCTGAGTTCAATGTTATTGTTAGAGAGAAAGATGGGGTGTGTATTCTGCCCCATCTGAGGATTTTCACAATGCGTACTTTCTTACTAGCAAAGGTGATGAACTATATTGCAGAGGTAGATGAAGATATAAAAATGTATGAAACCTGTTATTCGATGGAGCAACAACCTTTATAAGATGGCATTCTAAAACTGGCAAAAAGTTCAGTCCACGAGAAATTTGAGGGTTACCCATAGGAAAGGTCGCAAACCTCCAGTTTTGTCACGCATATACTGTCAACATCAGTTATCATTTATACATTTGCCCTATTTTTTACAGCTTGAAATCAAAATTAGGCTGACAAAATTTGAGAGTGTTTTTAAATTGTTTTACTCTGATTCTGTATTTTTTTGACTACCGTGTAGAAGGCCAAAAAAACTTTATATATATTCAAAAGGTTGTAGTATAGAATACTTACGTCGGAATAGTTCACCATTAGATTTGTGCATGCAAATTTTTGTACTTCCAATTTCCTGCGTGGAAAATACAGGGTGTCTCAAAAGTAGTATACACTGTTTGACCGTTAATATCTCTTTTTTTAAGGAGTTTTTTGCCCATCTTCAGGTATCATTTTGTAAAACTGGTTTCAACTTAAATGTGATATATGAGCAAGTCACCTATCGCTCTTCACCACTGTAAGATTACGGTAGGATCTGCTCACAGTGTCATTGCGAATTGATAGTGTTTTAGTAGAAGGTTCATGGACTATTGTAAGAATAGCTAATGCTGTTTACCCGGCATAAGTTATGAAGGAACCATTGTGGTAAAATGCAAAAATCATGTTTGGTTTTTAGCTTGAGCTGACCTAATATGGAAGTTTTCTGGTTGTTCGGTTTGATTTCTGAGGCGGAAGAAGGCCCTAATGGCTTACAACCCTTCTCGAAGTTTCTAGTAATCCTGAAGAGCGATCGGTGACTCGCTCATGCTGTGAATCTTAGTCGAAGCTAGCTATACAAAGTGGGCCTGGAGGTAGGCGAAAGACTCCTTGGGAAAAGAGATATCAAAGACCAAACAGTGTATACATACTTTTGGGGCCCTCTGTATACATCAAGCGTGTATATGAATAGCTAATGCGACAGGTGACTTTTTCAGGCAATTTGAACTTTTCTTAGATTTCTGTGGGCAAAAACCCGAACTTGAGTTTTCATAAATAGACTCTTCTTCAAAACTTCAAAGGTATCGAATTTCTTGCGCTCATTGAAAGCCATGTAGAGCCCTTTGCTGCATCGGTATATTTTCTGTACATTTTTTCATTCTCTTTCGCGGCAAAGAACACACATTTCTTTAACACCAGACTGATATATTAGGTCATTCCGAAAGTTATGTCGCTTTTTCCAGATGAACAGATTTTCAAGAGATCTTGAAAGCATTCGATGCAGCATTTCGTCCTCTTTCTAATGGTTGTAATTTCATTGCATAATACTCAATGAGCTCTCAAGAAATTACCAAAATCTGCGGCTCATGCTTTTTGCCATAGTCAAGTTAGGCTATTTTTCTGAATTTTTATACCAAATCTTCGAGGAAGTACAAGTAACGGGTGGATAGAGCAAATGTTATAGGGCACAGAACAATTTTCTTCTTTTCCTTAGCCCGCTCAATCAATTTTTCAATGCTATCAAATTTTATATTTGGTCAATTCAACCCTCACAGAGCAGCAACGGCAAACAGCTCGGATGTCATTCGACGAGCTTTTTCTTCTCTTTCTACCAGTTGTTTTTTGTTTCCGATTCAACAAGTTTTACGGAAAAAATTATCATAATTCAGTTTTTCCAGGGCGCCTCAGACTGTACCCGTAATTTTCGAAAGTTGCTAATCTGAAGCGATGAATGCTCATTTGGTTTGTAAAATTAGTGTCAAACCATAAGCCATCTTTGTAAGTTTCAAAATCCGAAGATTTATTGGTGTTTGATGCATTTGTGTCTGAGACGAGCCTGCTAAAATTTGAGGGCCCCATCAAAAAAAAATCCATGCAAAAATTATGACAAGCTCTGAAAAGTAGAAAAAGTTGTGCTTGTCCTGCAAGACTTGCTCTATTTCCCCCTTACTTGGGCTCTTTCCGAGGGTTGTTATGAAAATTTATAAAAATCGTATAACTTGGCCTTCTCAAAAATTTCGCCGCAGATTTTGATAATTTTTCGAGAGATTATTATATTTTGTGCAGTGATTATATGACCATTAGAAAGGAAACGAAATGCTGCATCCAATGCTATTAGAATCTCTTGCACATTCTCGTTCCGCGAGATGTGGCGTACGTTTGAAAAAAGCGATACTTTCGAAATGATCTAATATTATTTCTATTCTGTGATTCGTTTTCATTATTGTCCTTGTTTGTTCTTTGCACGCACCATTTGCGCGCTATAATTTGTTCTCAAAGATAAATTTCGTTGTGTATCCCAACAATAAGATCAAGCAATACATCCAAAGGTGAGTGGTGACATAAAAGTGTCAAAGCGGGTTTTTTAGTAGGAAATGCTCTACTTCAAGACTTAATTGGATGGACAGCATGTCATTCTCTTAAAGGCAGCGTCCAGGCAAGACCCTTCCACCCAGATTCGCACATGCTTGTAATGAGGGGCCCATGGGTATCCGATCTGCGTTGGTCCGATTCTTTGACGTGGCCTCTAAAAGGGAATACGGGCCTGTGATACGTATCACAAACCTCCCCTTCGTATCACAAACCACCCCTGAGGATGAGTGCTCAAGCAGGTGTGCAGTCGCATGCAGTTGCACTGCACACTGCAATGCAACTGCATCCGTGCAGTGCAGCTCCTCAAGCTGGCATGCGATGGGAACGAGCAATCCAAAACTCCTCCGCTCCTTGAAGAAAGGGTTCCCAAGAATCGGGTTCTTTGAGGGTATTGAACAATTTGGGCTTCACAACTGTAATCAAAGCCACCGAAAGGCCTCAGAATGACAGAAACATGGGAGGCGAAATTTTGCCCGGATGCTGCCTTTAAAACCTGGCATACTCTTTCTGTATGCAGAGTCTGAGCCATATTTGACATGTACAGTCAGAGCCCCTCGAACGGGCCCTGATAATAGAAGATAGATTGGATGGGGGGAGGGGAGAGAGAGCATGCCCACTACAAATGTGACATCCATTCAGGAAATTAATTACCGCAATCGGTCTTATCAATCTTTGCAGGCTTTGAGATGGAGTCTAGCTTTGAAGTGTAAGGGCACTAAAATAGCTGCACGAAATTACAGTAGGAAGTTGATTTTATCGTTTTTTTCGAAGTTGACCAAGCGATATCGGATGTTTTAGCAGTACCCTTTACATGACCAAGTGATTGGAATTAGGTAAGGAAAAATTCAATGCTGCACGGGCGGAGAAGTGTGTTCCCAAGGAAACTGAAGGCATGGCAACTATGGCATTGAAGCTAGGGATGAAAGAACAGGTGCAAATTTTTTTCTGCAACGTCTCATCGTATCGTATGCGGCAGTCCATTTCCTACCAAACAGTAATTGTATTCAGCAACTTCGCTGAGCTCTTGCAGGGTAAGATTGAAATACTGTGCACATTGAAAAAAAGCTACTAAGCAACTTAGGAGACACATGCAAGCAGAGCGGCTTTACACAATGCGTATATCATAACACTAAGTAGCAAATGAGTGTAATCATTGCAGTTATATTGGACAATAACCGCTCTGATTATTCAGAACAGATTCGAGCAAAGTGTCCAAAGTATTGTAAACAAGGCATCAGATATCTCTTCTCCCCCCCCCTCACTTTCCTCCCCTCACACCTTCCCAACCCATGTAGTAAATGGAGTACAGTTGTGACAGTAAAATGTGAAACTTTTCGGCGAATTTGCCAAAGTCGGCGAAAAAGCAAAGTTGCCGACATCGCCGACATCGCCCAAAATTTTCACATTCCAAAGTCATTACTGTATAAGTATGAAAGTGCGCCCTCATTGCACACTTACCGTATTCTGAGAACATAACAGCATTACAGCAAATAAAAATTATTTCACATAGAGAAGTTTTTTGAAATGTTTCTTACAACAGTGACGTCATTGTCGTAAGAAGCATGTCGAATAAATCCTTTCTGTGAAAGAATAAAACTGTAATAGAGTAAATTTCTATGTAATAAAGTGGTCACTTAGATTGTTTATCAAGACAGTATTTAGACCTATTAGTCCAGTATTGGATTTGCAGAGAGCGGGAAAATTTGTGAAGTTATTGCTTGCTATTGGCCCTCTAAGATGAGAAAATTGACATGATCACAAATGCACTAGAGAAGTAGCTAAAATTAGAACTTGATTCAACTGGTATAACATATCGCATTTTTCTCGCGTAAAGATATAATTTGAAATACAACTTTAAAAAGCTGCTCAGACATGTTATATTTCTTTTCTTCAACAAATCACAGTGCAAGATCAGTTACGCGTCTCAAAGCGTTGCTACAAATACACTGGGATACATAGGACCACTTGACATATAGTCCTATGGCTCCTAACCTTCTTAGTTCACGAGAAAATTCTTGATTTTGCATTAGTTTTGAAGTAGATAAATCACTTCACATGAGAACTTTTGAGACTGCGATCATTACTCAACATTCTTGAAACACGTTGCGAACAAAGTTAAACTAGCGAATTCGTATTTACAGTCTGCCCCAACTCCAATCAGGCCAAAATTAACATGGCGAGAGTCCGCGTCACTAGAGTGTTGGTCAAGCCTATGACCTGCTTGCCTGCTCTGCCTTCAATCACTTCGCTCTCTCCGAAGTGCTCGTATGCAATGCAGTTATTCATTTAATAAAAAAATTCTGAGACTACAACACCAAATCAATATTTTAGGCACTTTACTAAGAAAAATGCTTTAACTGGATATCAAAAACTTATACTAGAAGCAATAATCAAAAGCTCACTCCAGGATCTCGATAGCAAGGTCCAGTTGCAGGGCAGAGGCTGTCGCTGTACAGATCCATGGGACACTGACAGTGTGGAGGTGTTACAGGTGATGTTGCCGGTAGCGTAGGTGGTGCAGTTACAACTGAAGATACAGTGCACAATAACCGCCATTGGTTACGGGTACCCACGGGATGAGTCTGCAAGCCCAACGCAGGCAGCGAAATTAGCACCCGAGCACAAAAGTGGCTGCTGTTAGATTTGTGGCTAGGGCCGGACATCGCTCTCTTCGAATGTTCTTGTTGATATGTATAGATGCTTTTTGCGTATCTGTTAAACTTCACTTTGATCTGAATGCATGTTGGAACGATCTGTTCTCCATTTTTCACGTGCTATTTCTGTACCAACATCTTGACACTTCTTGTCTGCCATATCGGTTACGGAACAGGTAATACGGCTGTATGTGACCGCTTTTGACTTCGACAATCTGGACATGTCACCAAATCTAGGATTATGAGACTTGAAAACGTTGCACAGTTTGCCCAACTTACTCATACATGTTTCTTCTAACAGGGGAAGGATACTTGGATGCCGTAGCCATTCCTAATGATTTGTATACCAAAAAATGCGCTTTTGAATGCTGGTTCGTAGACTGTCTTTCATATCTGCGAAACGATAATCTGAATGGAGTTATGATTTTTTTTCATTGAAAAAAATTGCGTCTGCGGAGGGTCAAAAACATCAATAAAAAAATTTTCTCTCCTTTTCAAATGCTGAGTATGATCCAGATAGTCTAAATAAATATTACTACGTCTAAAATTTTCTTCAGTAGCATCAAACGGTAGGCTAGATCAAATCTGGTGATTTTTACTATCCAAAAGTAGGCTAAATTTTCAAGGAAAAAAGTTCATAACTTTCTTCAAAAGATCGTTTCGCAGATTTCGAGCACAGATTCAGAATCTGCATTCGAAGGCGCATTTTTTGGTATACAAATCATTAGGAATGGCCGCGGCATCCAACTATCCTTCCCTTGTAAGGTCTCTAATAGTAAACCAACCAAACAGATTTAACGGATAGTGTTTACTCGATCATACTTATGTGAAGCGTGTTCAAGTCTTCCAATTTCAGAATATATAACCTACTCCCATGCATGAACGAAAAAAGCGTACCGTCTCTGCTTGAGCACTCTTCACTCAGACGGGGCCACCATCTGAAGTGTTTCGTGGACGATACAAGATGGAATCCAACGCTTAACATACGAATAGATGACAAACACGGCATGGATCAACATTATGAGCCCACAACGCGGTTGCTTTGCGCGAGTGCTTTTTTCGCTTGCGGCGCGCATGCGCTGCCTCATTCCACGGTACCCGCAACCGATGGTGTTGATACGCCTTGGGGCAATTAAAAATGAGCTTGTTTTTTTAACGCATCCATTTTCAGATGATCTGCGGTCATAAATTGCTGCCTTTACAGATTCATTACTTCAATGTGTCTGTAGTTTCTACATATTGAACATGTCATGATCATCAGACAGTGGAAACATGAGTTTCACCACATGACTTGTTAACCGTGAAAGCATTGAATATGTTCGATAGTAAAAGCAAAATCTTTTGGGAAACAAATCGATTCAAAAGTATGGTTGCTGTCACAAGTATGTAAGTTCAGTATTTTATGCTAGTAGAAAGCAAAGGTTCTATCTAAGCGTGATTAACGTTGAGTTTGCCTATTGCTCATGCAATACGCCAACAAAACTTTCTCAGGTTTGCCCGGGGCCCGGCACAGATCGTGTGGAAGCAGAGTGGACTTTGTTTTTGGAGCAAAAAGCAAAAAGATATCGTTTTTGCAGTGGGGCCGAGCACCAAGAATAAGCGCCATTCAGTCGGAACGCAAGCTTTTCGGACAGGTTATCACACGATTGACATGCTTTGTCGTGTATGGCGGAAAGTGCGCGCGATTTGCAGGCATGGCTAAAATAAACAAATTGATTGTTTACAGCGCACACAGAATCATATGACACCAAAATTGATTGAAATGTATACTTAGAAAATTATTTGCAGAAGAATAATGCAAAAAGATTCAAAAACTTATGTGAAGTATCACCTTTTCCAAAATTAGTCCGTCGCTAGACGGTCACAAGGCGATCTGAGATCGTGTGGAGCATATATTTCTGTCGCTCCACATAAGTTTTGAATTTTACTATCATGTACGGATTCCCCAATCAAAAATCTATTCCGGAGCATGAAGACATTTTCATACCATTGCCTTTTCTTTATTTTTTGCCTTAATTTCATCATAAATCGCTTTAAATATCGCTCCAATGCCAAACTCTTGGGCATGCGTAGTATTCAGCTCCAATTTAGATTTTCGCTCTTATCTCACGTTTTTCTGTCAGATTAGTAAATTGTATTTGTTTTCATCTTCTCCTAAGTAGGTAAGTCAAATAGGACTTCGTAAAACTTCCGAAAGTTAGGGGAGACCGTTTTTAGAAACGCTAGGAACCGACTAGTGCCGGACCCTGGGTTTGCCCTCTTGTCGTACTTCTTTAAGTCAGGTAAAGTTGATTGCACGTAATCGTCCCAATCGTCATAGGCTAAACTCTCGCGAGCGTGTCCATTGCGGGATAACAATGGCATTCACGCACAAGAATCATTACAGCACCAATACTCGGCAGCCGCTTGATCATCCTCGCCTGCACTGCCTAAAGCGATACGGGCGATTTTTATAAAATGCTGCAACACTTCAGAACATATGGTTCGATAAAATTTTAGACAAAAAGTTGAAAATTGAAACTATTGTCTAACCAGCAAGTATTGTGAGCATATTGCTAAAGTTTAGATCATGTCAGCAAAAACTTCTGGAAAGACAGCAATCAGCAATCATAAGAATCTTCGTTTATCTTTACCACTATATACTGTGGTGGTTATTGAAGCTAATTGTATTCAAAGATATATTGAACTGATTATAAAATTTTGTAATCACTCACATGGCAGAATCGTACAGCATGCTTGAAAAATGTTAACTTGACTAGCATTCACAAATAAAACTGGCATTTGTAGCTGACAACCTAGAATGCGAAGTCTAGTGTCATGTAATGACGTACTAAGGTCTACCGACCTGCGAAAATTTTGTTTTTCCCGGTAAAAGTCCTAATGTCAAAAAAATTTTGGCAAAAACAAGCACTTTGATGTGTACATGATACTCTTATGGTTAAGAAGAATGCTTGACAACTAGATTTGGGAAAACATCTATCTTTCCGCCCAATACAATAACACAAAATTTTTGTAAATCTATGCCTAAAGTACAAAAGGCCTCAGTGCTGAATAAAGTGCGGTTCATAATTATACGAACACCCGAAATTTTGTAAGTTTTCGGACTTTTTGGGAGAAACTCAAAAAGCCGTTGGTACCACGCGAAAGAGCACAACCGAAAACGGTATATGATCCATAAGAATGGAAATTGATGTCAATCTTAGGAGTGTTTTTGCGCCCAATGCGAATTTTTAGCGGTTCATAATTATACGAACACCTCAAACAAAGGTCCATTTCTCATCCGCGAGTGCAACCATTTGAGTCCAAATTTTTTGTAGAGTTACAGTGACAAAGTCTGACATATCTGCTACACACTGAACCCAGTGCAGTTTCAAAAGAGGACCGTTACTTTTTTTCAAAAGGCTCTAAATGCTTTTGGAGTAATTGCGCTCCAAAAACATCCGTTCTTCTGTGGTTTACGCGCTCCAATTAGCTTCTACCAAAGCTATGAGATAAAATAAGCTCTTTCGATAGGTATTTTGTTTGAAGCTTGGAAAATCTTTGCGTTTTCGGGCCTTTTTTCAACCAAGTTCCATTTCACTCTAAAGTTAGCACGATTTCGAGCCTCAAAACTCAGCTTCTGAAGCCGTACAATGAAGTAAGCATATAGTATGTAGAAGCTCACAAGATTGTATATTTGGCTAGAGAAAAATCAGCAGCGTTGTGCGCTTGTTTTGGCCACGCAGACTTCTTTTCACCAAGAACACTATTTTTGCTATTGCAGTCACACCCCTATTTGGTTTGTAGCTCCGCAGCCTCAAGATCAGTTCTACAAAAAGCCCAAAAACTTTGGCACAGAAACATCACCATGCAAGCAATGCAGCTGCTCCATATCAATTTTTTGCGCAAGACAGAAGCTGAGTTTTGAGGCTTGAATTCGTGCTAACTCTAGGTTTGGGATGAAACTTGGTTGCAAAACGGCACGAAAACGCAAAGGTTTTGCAAGCGTCAAACAAAATACCTATCAAAAGAGCTTATTTTATCTCATAGCTTTGGTAGAAGCTAATGAGAGCGCGTAAACCACAGAAGAACGGATGTTTTTGGAGCGCAATCACTTCAAAAGCATTTAGAGCCTTCTGAAAGAAGTAGCGGTCCTTTTTCTAAACTTCACTGGGTTCAGTGTGTAGCGGGTGGTTCAGACTTTATTACTGTAACTCTACAAAAAATTTGGATTCAAATGATTGCACTCGCGGATGAGAAATGGACCTTTGTTTGAGGTGTTCGTATAATTATGAACCGCTAAAAATTCGCATTAGGCGCAAAAACACTCCTGAGATTGACACCAATTTCCATTCTTGTGGATCATATACCGTTTTCGGTTGTGCTTTTTCGCGTGGTACCAACTGCTTTTTGAGTTTCTCCCAAAAAGTCCGAAAACTTACAAAATTTCGGGTGTTCGTATAATTATGAACCGCACTTTAGATTACCAAAGATGTGTGATAAACGCTCCTATAGGTCAGTCATGAAACTAATTTTAGTAAAGATGAAAAACAAATGACAGCGGAGTGTAGGAGATACAGGATGCCGAGCGGTTTACAGTCAAACTTCGTTTAACAATGTCTTATAAGCTTTTCGTCGTCCAGGGTTGGTAAAAAACACGTAAATTCCTATTCAAGAAAAAATGCAAAGTGGCAGTTATTGGGACAACTAGCTGAAAGGTGTTATCCCACGACTAATGACCGTATGAACTGTTTTCAGTGCGTGGCAAACAAGCTTTTGTTTCTGTTCATTATGATGACACCCGGAAAAGCGATGTTATCATATTCGTAAAGAATAATTTTTCTGAAACCTTAGCACTACATAGGTGAGTATTGAGCGAAGCATCAAACATAAAAACACCGTTAACGAGTTTTTGCATACAATTCACACGATTTTATAATATTAGCATTCGTCTTCCCTGCTTTCCTGAACATGATAACTGTACATGCCATTTGTTTTTATAGCCTTCTATCCTTCTTTTCCATTCTGAGCCAATTTGTCTTTAAGACGTAAAGTTTTTTTACTCACATGATTCTATGCATTGCAACAAAAGCTAAAATCTTCAAATAACAGAGAAAAACTTTATACAGTGAGGTCGTTCACTTGTTTTGCGATGGGTGGCACTTAACGAACACGCTAACTCAATAGCGCAGGGGTATCATGTGGAGGAATGTACAAACAATTGGTTACAGACACTTTTTGTACGAGTGCTCATATATCATGATTTGAGCGGCAGCTTACATAATCGAAAATGGCTAAACAACCGTGAAATTCTCCACCAAAACAAACTCTTTGCGAACGGAATCAAGATACCTATTCGATGGTTAATCTCTCCATCCGAGGAAAACACCAATACAGTGCAGAAAGTTAAAGAAGTAAAGTCCAAATCACATCATTGTCAACGCTAATACTGTAATAATTGAAAAGTGAAGCCGTTGACAATTAAATGAAAACTGAACTCTAAACGTTTAGAGAAATTTTTTTTCAAAGGTGTGTATTTTAGATGTAACAGGTCGTTAAGCTCGTAAGATTCGGCTGACAAAAACAACAGTTTCTAGCATAAATCAGCCAATAACGGCAGTATAGCGAACGACGTTTTGCCGCTTTTGTCAAATTTTTCATCCCAATTCCTCAAACGACAGCGCGCCTGGCCACAAAAAGTCTCAAAAGCGCCCTGATACTCCTCAAAATCAAGCATCATAGTAAGATTTGCGAAAGGGCACAACGAGCTTTGAGGAGTAGCACACTAGAGTACCTTCCAGATGGGTCTTGCAGGATAAGATGACGTTTACCGTCTGGAATTAAACTTGTCATGCGAAAAATTCACTATGCCCATTGGACCTTCTGCAGTATGAGCTCGTTTGAAACAAGCATACCTTCGATACATAGAGTCATGCACTCTGGTGGCCTCCACTTCAAACGACACGAAAGAACACAATCTTCACTAAAAAGCAGATGCCATCCGCGGCTTAGCCCCAGATGTTAAAATCATAAATATATCGGAACTGATGTAAATGGAGTACGTATAGTGATCTCAAAAATATCGCTTTAGCCTTCTTTGTGCTACGAGATTTTTGTTCACATTTTCATAGCATTCAGGACACCGTTTTTTCAGCTGACCTCTTTTTAGACTACGATTGAATTCTAAATACTCACGAGAGCCATCAAAAAACTGTGCTTAAATCTATCGCAGAAAATCGCAAACAAAAGTGCTGGTTTATTTCGCTAAGAAGTGATTCAAGGCTAGCGACGTTGTGTGAATCCTTCTAGTCGTGTCATGACGATCAGAATGAATGTAATGTTGCAAGGTTTTGTTCCAGCTGAATCTACAACCAGAGTTGAATGCCCCGTCGGCTCTGACCTTTCTCTTCTACTCATCTGCGTCTCCGCGCCTTGCGCGCTATCTCGCTACCCTAAACCCGGGGCGCGGGGTAATTGGCTCCGGCTTTGGCTTTGGCACGAACCAATTAAGGCGTTATCGAAATTTCATAGCCTTTCCATGCACAGCACTTGCTAAAAATTATCAAAGTTCAAGGTCAGTTGCTCGTCTAATCGTTTCCCGTAATTTGAGCACACTTACCCTTATTTATTTCTATTTTATCAGAAATAATGTCAACGAATCCACCGAGACAAGAAGAAAATTACTATTCCAAAATGTAACAGTAACAAAATAAATATTTTAGCGATTGCAGGTACACCATAACCGTCAGTCAGACCCGAAAGCTTCAAACACATTTTCCTGTTCATTGTAAACAATTAATTTAGCTTCAAGCATCAGTCCGCAATGAAAAGAAGGCATCCGTTTTCAACATCATCATTCCAGCAGTTGCTCAGATTGTCTCCTACCTTGCAAATCAATGTGGAATGGTTTATCAAAGACGAAGCAACTTTTCACTTGATAAAAAATTCCATCATGCTAATCAAGCTAGCGACGAATAATCAGTGCTGTTACATTTGGAAAAGTTCCTCTCAGCGACCAGAAATATTGAATTGTTGATTGCAGAAACATTATGCACGAGAAGGTGCCAACTTGAGTCGTTACCCTTCCAAATGTCATTGAGACAAATCAAACGGCAAAACTGGAATATGTTTAAGCAATTTTACACATCTGATTTTTTGGCTAATCCACATGCCTCTTTCGAGGATTTGTGTTCTTAAAAACAAAATTTTGTACTGTAATATCCTGATATAAAAAATTAATTGGCAAGAAAAGCTGGGGCTAAGGCGACATATTTTGATATCTGTGCGAGAAAACGGTGGTATATCAAGATTAGGAGATTTTATCTATGCTTGACCGTCTCCTTGGAACTAGTAGTGTTCTATCATAATAATTTCAATTATTGAAAATGCACAGTCGTTGATTAAAATTTAGCAAGCGAAGATATGTTTAGCGATTTACAAGACAAAAGTTCGTCATCCATTACTTTCACCTCGGTGTCGTTAATGTTCAATATCCAACTTCCGTTCACACAAAACAGCAATGTATTGTTCTCCGCGTTGGCTTGAACGACTTTGAGAAGCATACTGAAATTGTTAATAATTAGGAAATGTCATTCTTTCAAAAAATGTTATGCAAGTGAAAACTAACGAAAAAAAACTTTGTGAAGAAAATTGTATTCTGTTACGCTTGTAGCATCTGTACGTCTGCTGGATTTTTTTTACTTTTACCAAAATTTAGAAAACTGGCGAAAGTTGAGAACTAAGGTTCGCTTTTACAATTCAGTGTGTTTGAATGCTTAAAGTGCAAAAAAGAAGTTCCCTGAGAGAAGTGGACTGGAAATTGGAAAGCAGACATTTCAGGTCCCAGATACCACTCTGAGCCACGACCAAATCCAATTTTGTCCAGCAAGATTTTTTCTGGACAAAGTCCAACAGTTTTAAAGTATACGCAGCTTTTACAAAAATCATACCAAACGGTAAGCGACCATGAATCTGATTATGTGTAATTTATTACAGACCTTATTGCTCCTTGAAATGACGACGTTGTCTCCCACTCCGCAATTCAGCTTTGAAAAGCACTCAGAGGATAACTTGTCATCGACTTCATCACACAAAGGGCATATTTTTTCAAGGAAGGACATAAGACACATTTGGAATTCTCCATATGTTGTTCTCATTGTTTTGCATAAGAATGTCAATGTTTTTTTTTGAGTTTACTCTTTTACCTTTGTTGAGACAAAGCATGCCTTCTACATCATGAGAATATTTGCCATCATTATAAATCCAAACCTTACTGCAGTAGATGTCCTGCGGATAAACAATCATACTCGAACCCGATTTGAGTTGCATCTTACAGGAAAAGTTTTCGTTTTTATTGTGGTGAGGATATACGATGAAAACTTACGCCAGAGGTGCATATGGACATTCCACCACCTTTGCAGCCATCTTTGCCATTTAAAGACTCCAGAATAGGCGCTGAGCGATTGTTTTTGGACTGTCAAAGATCAAATTCACTGTAGTTCCTAAATGACGAGCATGAAGCTGTGCAGCTTGATTGGATCTCAGCTTGCCGAACTTTTCCTGAAAAATTTCTGCTTTCGGGAAAAGCGTTAGAACTTCTTTACACTAGCAGATTATTGTAAGCCAACAGAAACTGGCACATGTATTATTCGTGCATAGTAGCTTGGTTCAAACTCGCCTTCAGCTATCTGTAGCAATTAGAATAACTTACTTCCACCTGGTGGGGAGCTTGGTGAGCTTGTGCCTACTGGGATTGCAAATGAATAACAGACGAGTGACCCAATACTTTGTCAAATGCTGCCTGGCCATAATAACGCCATTCGCCATTGACGCACTGGATATCCGCCAGCTGACGAAAGTCATGCACCCTTATTAAAATTGCGTGAGTCATTATTGGTACAAATTCTCATTGATATGCGTTGAAGCCCAAGGATAGGCATTCTCAACAAAGAAGGCAAATTGTTTCATGTAACGTTGATTTTTCTTCTTCTGTTGGATACAATTTTCTGCTCACAACATTGCTCCTTCTCATCCCGATATTCTGTAGTTGAGCTTAGCAAAGTTTAAAGATTAGTATTGCGATCTGCACTAGAATGTCTAAAATCCTAACGTAGGTACAGAACAATTCCCACATATAATGTTTGGTTCCTTCAGAAAACTGCATGAATTACTTCAAGAATATCAGCAGATCAATGTGTTTTGAGAACGAATAATATAAAAAATCTTCTGCTTATTTTTGAATTTTCACGACCTTTATCTAAATTATAACGCGCATTGCTTTGTAGGAACTGTTACTACAAATAAAGAGGTTTCCTAGGTCCTTCAAAAACAGCTTTGACCGCCTTGACTTACAACGATCATAATGTGGTTTGTTATCTTTGCGTTTGACGCCAAATTCCCTTCTGTGGTATTTGGATGGTTGAAGATTACGGTTTTTGCGCTGTAAAACATTCATTTAAGCAGAAGCAAAAATGCTAACTTATTTCGTTGAATTATGATCAGCTCATAGGCTTAGGTGTCAAGAAGCAATCTGAGGAAGTTAAGGAGTGACCATTTTAGGACAGCTCGAAAAGAATTCAAAAGTTTGAACGAGTAATTGAAGTTTCGCATTGCTTTTTAGACGAGAAATATTTGTGCTAAACCTTATCTTTGAATATAGGAATCTAAGGAAGATTTTTGAGCAGAAAAATTGATTTTCTGGCATCTTTCGAGGTGAAATATTGTTTTTTTTTTGCATAATTAATAAGTTTTTCATACCCGTTCTTTCAAGTGAAGTAAAATCATCTTTTTGAAAACTTACCATGATATCCAAAAAAGCATTACTTCCGTTCGCTTCTGTGATTCTACTTTCATTTCGTAATTTCAAGTTCAAAGATAAGTGACTACGCGTACGCGTGAAATTAGGGTAGAGTAATGCGATTTGCGTTGAATTTTCCTTTGTTTCTCCTTTTCCTGAATCGCAGTAACTTAACAATTACTAATCAAATCTTTGTTCCTTTTCGTAATGCCACTGCATGGATTTTCAAAATAACAGGACTTCGATGTGCTTGTGAGGCCAATAATCTAGAAATTTTCGAGAAATGATTTTTTTTTCTTTTCGCTTCCTGTGGTTTCCTTTGTATTAAAGTGTCTTTCACATGTGAAATTTGCTACAATAGCAGACTGTGGTATTGCTCTTTCTGAAGCAAATCGACAGCCTTGACTTAGAGCAAATTACAGCAATGTGTAAGTGTGTTATCCTTCGATTTGGCGAGTTGAAAAATGATATCGAGTAGTAGTGAGACAGTCGGTGCAAAATCGTAGTATTCGGGAGTTATGAAATATGCATAAACTCGATTTTTTGAAAAGAGGAAAACATGTAATTCGTAATATAGCTAAACTTTGATTGACTCATAAACTCGGGTTCCAAAAAGTGAATCAAGTAAAAGATTAAGTATGACCACTTCGAGATAATTTCAAATTCTTTGAAACTTAAGAATCGAAATAAATAGCAAAAGTTTCGTGACCCACTTTTTAGGTGAGCAAAGTTTGTGCTGAATGTTCTAGTCAAGAAAATCTTTAGGCAAAGGTTTTACTTTTTCCTTATTTGGACCCATTTTCTTCAATATGGTTTTATAAGTTATTTGCTTTGGTTTAGAAAATTTTTTTATAGATAGTGTGAGGTTTGTCTTTCTGCCACGTGTTAAGATGAAAATCAACACATCTATTCTCATTTTGACATGTTTTTTTTTCAAAATTATTTTCTGTGTGGTACGAGACATTTGATGACTCAAAAAATGTTCAGCATTTTTTCATAAAAGCAAAACAATCCAAACGGTTTATCAAAACATCCTGGTCGCTTTTAGCAATAATTTCAGTGCATCTTCCTTTTTAAACTTTTCAAGGTTTTCAAATGCGAATTTAGCTGAGAAAAGAGTATAAATGATTGCTTGAAGTACTTGGTTGGCACATGTTTCGTTGCTTGAAATACAGGGTGTCCCAAAAGTATGTGTACACACTTTGATCGTTGATATTTCTTCTTTCAATAGGCTTTTGTTTACTTTGAAGTATCATTTTGTAGAGCTTTTTTTTTAAACTTGGATGTACATTAAAGCGAACCGATTGATCTTCATTACTGTAGGATTGTGGTAGGAAGTTTAGACTTGCAGCGTCTTTGTGGATTAGTCCTAATTCAGAAGAAGTTTTCGGACATTTCAAAAAGTTATTGTATCAGGGATATGACGGTGTAGATTTATTTAACTTTTTAGGAGTTTGTAAAGCTTTTCAAATAGCGTAATCACAGTTTAGGGAGCGTTATAAAAACAACATTGCGGTCTACCTGGCATAAATTATAAAAGAAGAGTTGTGGTGATCTGCAAACTTCATATTTGGTTTCAGCGACTCTAATTAGCCTAGTGTAAGAGTTTCATGTTCTTTTGTTTGCTTTCTGAGGTAAAATAGGGCCCTCAATGGCTCAAAACTGTTTTTGAAGTTACCTACTGTTAACTACCGTAATCTTACAGTAATGAGCAATGATCGGGTGATTCGCTCGATATTGTAGATTTGAGTTAAAGCCAGCTCTACAAAACGGCGCCTGAAGATTAGCAAAAATGCGGTGGAGAGAGATGTCAAAGGCACCGTCCACCCAAAATGGGTCTATGAATTTCGATGTTTAATAGTTGTCTAACAGGTTCTCAGCTGTGTAACTGCCCAGCTCGCGCTATCTGAAGTTACTTCTAAAGCGGGAAATCGCTTCGAGAATTTTTCGAAAGAAGGATTCTCCACGTTGGCTCCTCCCTAGCAACGCCTGCTAGGCGAAATCACGGAGTGTGGGCGGTACGTTCGTCCCGCCCACTCCGTGATTTTGCCTAGCAGGCGCAAAGCTCAAAAAATTGGTCGAGTTATGCGAGAATACGTCTCTGCCCTGCCTTAGGCACGCAGCTGGCCCGCGGCTGATGGAAGGCGCAAGAAGTGCTGGTCTACTGCGGATTCTGAAGGGCGTCCAATTAATCATTTGAGACTGTTCTATTTTAGGCCTGGATTCGGACTCAGCGAGCACAAGAGGTGCTGAAAAGGACAAAATCTCGAAATCGAGGATTTGAGTGAACGGTGCCTTTAACGACCAAAAAGTGTATGCATAGTTATGATAGCCCACTCTTCTGTTTTGGGCAATTTTAGGTGTCCATTGAACTCAGTATGTCATTCTTGTAATGCTGATGTTTATTTCTGAAACTGTTAAAGAAAAGTTTCTCAAATTACATTGGTAGGTAGGTTAAATAGGTAGGAACTGATTCCTAAAAGGTTATGACCATGTGGTACAGGCTAGGCTTATTTCTACGTACTTATGTTGGACACATGTGAAAACCATCAGTAATCGTGGTGTACAGAAAAACTAAATTAATATCAGCCTTTTTCAATTACTTCACCAACTTTCTTGTTTGACATACGAGTAGCATGGAAACGGCAGTAACAAGCAAGGCTGCGCTGGAGGATATGCCGAAGGTTTTGCTAAGAAAGTGCCTAAGCGAACCCAAAAGAAACTCAAAATATGGTAGTAACAATAGAAGTGATAATATAACAATATAATTGAAGCTTTCTGCTAACTTCATATGAACATAGCTGCTCAGAAGGTGAACGAATATCTATCGTAAGCGCTCCATAGCATCAACTATTTATTACTCAAAGAAGAAACGTCGACAAGTGGGACAAATAAATTACACAAGTTTCAAGAGTTTCAAACTGCGATGTAAGCTAAGCGTCATTAAAAAGAGTTCCATAACTTTCTCGTGCAGCTGTAGGTAAGGATTGCCAATGAGTTTTCCGCAGTAAAGTGCCATTCTGAAAATGTACGACTGAGATGTTTTCCCACGATTCAGGACCGAACAAATTATAATAATGTTTCCCAGTTGCATAAGCTTGGTGAACAGACGAGAGTGTGTGGTTGTGCCTGTGAATGCACATTAACACGCTTTTTAATTGAATTCGTACAATGCATATTTTATATACGCTTAGCACTGTATAAGTGATAACGGAAGGTGTGAATAACAATCGTT